TATTTTTTCAATTAATCGATTAATCGGCCAAATCATTAAAATGCTTAATTATATGAATATGAGTAGATATAAATTAAGTTAACTCCTTAAGGATGCAAGTTATTGATAATGAATTAATCTGAAGTGGATTTATCTTATAGATTGATTAACAATTAATTAATAAGCAGCCATTTTAAAAAAGGAACGAAGTTTTCTCTTGAATTAAGAGGGTCTTCCCATAAAATGAAGGATTTTTTTATAAACTCCTGAATTAAAAAACAGACGCACATAATACATATTTTAACAATTTATTTTGCCAGCTGTATGAAATACTCACTGAAAAAATGTGTATTTCTCCTACATGAAACAAAACAGAAATTTAATAGGTTGCTGAATGAGGAAAATAGATTAAAATAATAAAATATCATTTTTAGATGTAAAACTATAATTAATTTATTATAATTAGAATTTATTTACATTTAACATTTATTTTTTCTCTAATTCTTTACTTTTTGTTTCATTCTTGTTGGTTCTGTCTGACTAAAACATTGTTCTGACCCAGTAACCGGTTCTGAAGCAGCCCCCCACCCCTCCCTGCAGACCTGCTGCTCGATCGCGTCTTTTTTTTCCTTTGTCCTCAAACTTTTTGCTGCTCAACAAATAACTTTGGGCCTCAGTCAGAAACAACTGGAAAGTTTGTACTTTTGGCCCGAGAGGAGGACGAAACGGTAGATTTAGGTCTCCCTCCTCCCCCGCACGCACTTCCTCCTCGCAACGCGGCACACATCAAATCAGACGTCTTTTAAAAAGAATTAATGTGGCATATACTTTTTATCATATCTTAAGATCTACTTGGTCTAACAACACGATTTAAAAACTGGTTTAAAGTTCTTAGTCTCTGCTTTTCACTCGAGAGTCAGAGAGGGCGGCTCTTTACAGGTAGAGCTTTTTCTTTCTTGGTAACTAACTGCGGTCATTGAGAATGCTCTGCGGGTGACGTAATCGGCTCCGCGACACGGCGAGGGACCCATAAATCCCGTGAAACAACAAACTGAAAATGAAATTCGTTGCCAACGCTTTTAATAATCAATTTTTTATCAATTTTATTGATTTGTTGTTGCAGCCCTACCAACTTTGACAGGGCATAACGACATGAAAAAAAGAATTGAACATGTGAGTGCATGTGCAAGGTTAAGTTGCCTGGGCAGAGTCAGGGTTGAGCATGCAATTAATGAAGGCGCTCGCATTCAAGTGGCAAAACATAATGAAGCAGTTAAACAAAACAGAACTTTCCTAAACCACCTTATTGATGTGACTTCTTTGCTTGGCCATCAGGAGCTGTCATTTAGGGGGCATGATGAGAGTGTTGAATCATCCAACAAGGTGAATTATAGGGAGTTTAATGAAACATTAGCTAAATATGACTCTGTCCTGGCCACACAATTCCAGTCATCAGCTGTGTTTTCTGGGATGTCCCATGCAATCCAAAATGACTTGATCTCTACAACTTCAGCCACTGTTTCTGATGAGAWCAAGGATGAAATCCAGGCTGCTCCCTTTTTTGCATGGCAGGTGGATGAAACAACTGATATAGCTTGCCATGCTCAACTCTCTGTCATTGTTCGCTATCTGGATAGGRCAGGTAAAATTCAGGAGCGCTTTGTTGGATTTTTTGATATTTCTGGGGGAAGAGATGCTCAGTCTGTCTTTGAAGTCTTGAATGAGAACATGCAGGGCTACAATTTCAGGGAGAAACTTGTGGCGCAAACCTATGATGGGGCTGCTGTCATGGCTTCAGCTCTCAATGGTTTGCAGGCCAAAGTTAAAACAGTCTCTCCCAGTGAAATGTTTGTGCATTGTTATGCACACAGACTGAATCTGGTTCTGTCTCAGGGGGCTAAATGTGTATCTGAGTGCAGAATAGTTTTTGCATCAGTCTCTGGGTTTGACRCATTTTTCTCAAAATCTACAAAAAAGGATGTCTTTTCTTGAGTCTGTAGGCTGCTCAAGGTTGCCCAGAAATGCTCCTACTCTGTGGAATTTCACACCACGGATAGTGAGCACCGTGGCAAACAATTATGATGCCCTCCTGCAAACTTTTGAGATGATCATTGCAGATAAGTCCATGGATGATGACACATTAGACTGTGCCAAAGGCTTTCTGATGAAACTGGAGGATTTTGAGTTTGTGTTCATGTTGTACACATATGAACAAATCTTCTCTGAGACTGATGTGGTGTTTGACATTGTCCAGCAGAGAGCTATGGATGTTCTGTACTGCAAGAAAAGAATTGAGTCTCTCCTTGCTTTTGTCAAAGAGAAGAGGTCAGAGGAAGCTTTCCAAGCTGTTTATGCCAAAGCAGCAGAACTCACATCAGACCCACAAACTGAGTCCATGAAAAAATGCCGTCTGTCAAAAATACAGGATCCCAAGGAGAGCTACAGAACATGGCTATCCTAGACAATCTCGCAGAGCAGCTACTACCTTGGCGTTTTGCAAATTTGGAAAGTCTGCACTTCTTGGAATTGGTCAATCCAGGGAAATTTGATGAGATGAGACAAGTGTTTCCAGGGGAGGCATTTCAGAGTGTCCTGAAATGTTTTGGCCAGTTCTTTGATTCAGGGAGACGGAGGTCTGAACTTCAAGTCCCACATTCAAACCAGGACTTGCAGGGCAATAGGGGAAAGCTATGTGATTTCTTACTGTTTCTGAAAGAGATGGAGTTGGATAGTGCAATGCCTTAGGTGTACAAACTATTTTCATTAGTGGCAACGATTGGAGCTACATCTGCAGGTGTAGAGAGGAGCTTCTCCTGTTTAAAGCGGCTCAAGTCTTACACCCACAACACCATGGGCCAAGGAYGTTTAAGCAGCTTAGCTCTGCTGGCCATTGAGAGGATCCTAGTCAAGTCCCTGGAAAAGACGCCTTGTTGGTGCAACAGGGTCACAGACCATTTTCTTAAAAAGGAACGGTGGGTAGAATTTACATACWGTATAAATAAACAGACACATTTTATGATGTAGGCCCAAATTGAGCTTACCCTCCTTGAAAGACCAGCATCCGCCACTGGTTACAATGCACTCAACTTTTGTTCATAATCAGCTTCTTATCACTGGTAACGACGCAGCTTTCCTCTCACTCATTCCCGCAGCTTCACAGTGCTTTAAACAGTGTCCACAGAGTTCAATAGCCAAGCAAACAGTGCAGCAAAACGAGACGAGTCATTGGATAAATGCTGGACTTTGTACCGCCAATCGGATGCTCAGCATCTCTGGGCGTCTATGGGGCAGTGGGCGGGCCTCGGCTGGCTGGGATGCTCAGCTTCTGCATGATGATTGGATGATCTRTCTGAGGCTGAATCCCTTTTTTGATTGACAGCGAAATGAGGGAATCAACGATCTTTTGGTGTAAACATCCATGGGAGCATTTTTTAATTTTCATTCTGTTCTGAGTTAAACCGGAGACTTTCCTAATCCTCTTAGCAACTAGCAACAAATCAAGCTTCTATTTCTGGTGGGTTTTTTTCTTTTTTTTTTTTGTAGCTGCTTGTGTTTGGAGACTGACTTCTATTGCAGTTTCTGTCCAGCGGGTGCTGCTGAGCTCCTCCACCATCACAAAACACTCACAGGTGGACACACTTCACACTAGCCTCGCACCAGTCCTAGCTAGTGAGCTAGGTCCCCGAAATTGAGCTTCCCCTCCTTAAAAGACCAGCATCCACCACTAGTTGCTTGCGTTTAAGACATGCTGAGACGTTTATTCTCTAAAAACGGTGAGCGGACAGATGTTGGGTGTGTGGTCCTGTGTTTTGTTGGTGTATATTTAATATAGTTCTAATCGCTATTTCAGTCTTTCTATCTTTCTAATTACTTCTCTCTCTGTTTTTCTCTCTGTCTCTATTTTCTCTTGACTTAAAAAAAAAAGAAAAAAAAGGTGTGGAGCCAAGAAGTCCGGTGTGCTGTCTTGTGTTTTCTCAACATATATTTTACATATCTTCTAATCTATTTTTCACTCTTTCTCATTACATTTCACTTTTTTCTTTCTCCTTCTTTTTCTTCTATTATAAAAAAAAGTTCATAATAATGGTGTGGAGAGGATGGCTATAAGGGGAGAAGGGAGGCCATCAAAAAAAAAAGACATGCTGAGACGTTTATTCTCTAAAAATGACGTCCCAGTGGCTTTCAAACACCAAAACACATTTTGGCAAACATTGGTTCACCCCAAAGATCCAAGTAATATTATTATTATTCAGAACTCAAAACTCAGTTCATATCAGTTTAACAAACACTATTATATCATCTTATTGACATAATAGTGTTTAATAGTGCAAGATTTCATCATAAGGAAATGCTAGGTCAAGTGAAAAYAAAGATAAACACAAGTGATATCAAAGAATGATTGTTGTTAGCAGATCTTGTTCTGGCTATAATCACTGATGAACAGCATGTCATGAAAACCTAGGTCATTAAAGTATGTCATGAATTACTGGCTTAAACCTAAAAGTATTATTTTCAACACAATCACACAAGATACGTTACTGTGCAACTGGCAGAGGTGTACGGTAGTTCCAAATTTATTCAACATTTTGGTGAATTTAAGATCTCACGTAATTTTGTAATTACGCAAGACTTCACCACAACTACAGCGGAGACTTCAGCGGATGTTTTTTTTTTTTTTTTAGAATCTATTTTGGGACATTTTAAATTGATTTTGAATCATAGTAAATGAGAATCTAGATTCTATGTGAATCGATATTTATGCACACCCCTAATTCTCAGACATAGGTTTACTTCAACTGATGAACCCCAGCCCAAATTTTCTTCCATTCCAATATTTCGTTGTCAATAAAATATAGGTTTATAAGAATCCTTGAATTTTTTCTACACAACTTGGTTAAATTAGGTTGTACTTCTTGGTTTCTTTTGGAAGTGCAGATCATGTGGAATAAAAAAACATCCAGAAACCTCAGTGTTGTTTGGTTCTGATCTGTTTGTTTGCAATTGTTTCTCTCTGTCTGCAGAAATGATGGGCTGATTGGTGTCACAGAGGCTCCAGAACCCAGAGGAAGACAGCTCACAGCATGGTGAGGTACCCCACCTGTAGTTTTATCTCTTTTTAGGTTTCTACGACAGACAGAAATAAAGCTCTTAACCCAGGAACTTCATTCTTCTTGTTCCGTTTAATTGCAAACAGGTTTTCTAGCATATTAAAGTCTGGGAATAATAAATATGCAAAAGTTGTGAAGAGAGTTTGTACACTTAGAATAGAATAGAATAGAATAGAATAGAATAGAAT